AATGAAGTAGTCAACTGAGATTCAATATTCAGAATCGCCAAAGAGTTTAAACGATTATCATTTATCGAAGATCTAAGATATGATTTAACTCTTTTAAGAGTACTGAATGAACGCTCGGCCGAAGTGTTTGATGCAGGAACACACAAAAACATTCGCAATGCAATATTAACGTATGGGTAAATATCTAGTAAATTATCATCTTTCATGACTTGACACAAATATAGCACCGATTTTGTGGATACGCTTTCTGGTAAGCCTTTTAAGTAACTACGAAAATGAATACATTCATTCATAAACGATGTATCCAAATCTTGAGGATATTGATTTTGTAACTCTCCAGCTTTTTGTCTTACTTCTAACACTGACAACTCAGTAATGTTGAACAAAAATCCAAATGAAGTATTAATTTTTTCATAAGAGTTTATACGCTTTCTCAACTCTGTAAGTAAAGAATCTATTATGATAATAAAAGTATTAATTTCAAAAGATTTTTTACTAACAAATGTTGTATCACCTTGAGATGATTCATCAAAAGGCATTTTCCTTTTTTTTATGCGGGAAACTTTATATTCTATAATTCCAGTTTTTTCCATGCCAAGTTTATCATAATGTGAAAAGCTGTTTCTCAAATCCATTATATAATTTATTAATAATTTATATAGGGTTATTAGTTTATTACAATAGTCAAATCAATATGAACATTCTGCAATTTCTTACTTACAATATTAAACCTCTCTAAAATATCATTCCATACTGATACCAGAATACCCATTTCTAAACTTTTCATTTTTTTCAATAGTCCATTACACTCACTTTTAGTTTTGGAATTTTCAGTTGGATTGTTAATGAACATATTTAACGCCTTCAAAATGTCATTCCAATTACGTGATAAACTTAAACAAGCCTCATATCTAGCCACCCATCAGGTATCAGATAATCTTTTAACAGTAACATTATCAGGTTTAGATAAGCATTGATCCAACACGTCCCAACGATAGGTAGATGCAGAAAAAAAAGAATAAATATTCTGAAGAAAATTAAAAAATTCATTAGCATTTATACAGCAATTAGCAGCACATTCTCCAACTAGGTTCAATGAATGTGCTGCACATGGAATGTAAACAGCATGGGGGCATACTTCTTTGATTCTTGCTTGGAGTCCAGAATATATTCCTGACATGTTGGAAGCGTTATCGTAAGACTGTCCACGGCAGTTATTAATATCTATTTCATTTTTTCTTAAAACCATAAAAACAGCATCTGCTAAATCTTTAGACTTGTGTCCTGGGTTTGCCAATAATTGCAAAAATCGTTCAACTGGTTCACCATTATTTGKTACATATCTAAAAATAAATGCTAGTTGGTCTGTATGTGAAATATCCGGTGTTGAATCAACAATGATTGAGAAATACTTTGCATTTTTATCTCATTCACAATTGTTTTCTTTTCACCCATAATTTCTATAAACTGTTCAAATACTGTAAATGATAAGTATGATGTTCCTTTCCCTTTGTTTCCAAATGTTGATATATGATTTTTAAGGAAGGGATCCAACTCKGCAATGAGTTCTAAGCACATAACAAAGTTACCACTGTGAGTTGACCCGAATTTATCCTCATGGCCTCTCATTGCTAGTCCCCGAGAACTTAGTGACTTCACAACAGCTATAACTCGGGTTAAAACTTCTTTCCAGTAATTTGTTTCTGATTGGAATTGTAAAATGAGTTGATGGCCAATTCACCCTACTTCACTTCCTCTCTTTTTCATCTTAAGAACACAAGTCTTGTGATTTATTGAATTTTCATGAGCATTTAATTTTTGTTCGCCTTTTTTTCAATCCAAATTTAGAGAATACATTGGAAGTATTCGGACCTCCAAATAGTCGACATGGTGCACAGTATATGCAACCTTTACTTTCAGAGTAAACAACAAACTTACGACATACAGATTCTCCATTAACAAGCTTTGTTTTGATTAAATTTGGATTAAAGTACCTGAAGTATGATTTTCTGTTTCTTGGATTTTGATTGCTGTTGTTTGATTCCAACATAAATTGTAGCTTAAAACATTCGACTCACCGCTGCCACCAAAATATTGTAACGTGTCCGCTTCAGCTCTCGAATTTGTATTGGAGGTATAATAAAGATACACGGATTTACATTAAMATAAAGTATTTTATTAATATCCAACAGCTAATCACTATATTCCTAGTACGTTGTCGTCTCGTCTCTAGTAATCGACTCCCCGACTTACTCTATGACTTCCCTATTTATGCTACGTGGACTCCTATTGTAATCATGACGTCGTCTAATCAAAGGTGTATGATATTTCCAATTTTTGACCTTTAATCTATGCTAACGCTTTCCTATAATCTGGTTATTTCAAAGTCGATGAATGTCAGTGAATATAAATACATAACTATATCAATTATTTTACATATTAATAACAATTATGAGGATCATTACACAACAGTTTTAATTATTTTAATACTACTGTGGCAGAAATATCGCATTTTATTATAAATAAAATATATTAAATATTATAAATTTAAAAAAAATGTCTTTAACATGTTACGTATTTTTCTTAGATATATTTCAATGGTTGAATAGCTGAGGTCATTGTCTTTTTCATTCAGAATTTCTCAAAGTTATATTACACGTATAATACAATTAGTCTTAAAGAGTTTAAGTACTGGTCTAACGCCAGTCTTATTAAAGCCTCCATTAAAAGAAGATTTAGTACGTATTGCTCATGACTTTTGGAACAARYGGAATTTTCCAAATTGTGTTGGTGCCATAGACGGGAAACACATCCGCATATTTCGCCAAAAAAGAGCGGAAGCTTATATTTTAACTAMAAAGATTTTTTTCCCATTGTTCTTCTTGCAATTGTGGACGCTAATTGTAAATTTATATTTGTGGACATTGGGTCCTATGGCAAAGAAGGGGACAGTGGAATTTTTAATAAATCTAGTATCTTTAAAACAATTTTAACCTGTGAATATTACCTTCCCCTGAAAAACTGCCAGATTCCAATGTATCTTTACCGTATGTACATATTGGGGACKAGGCATTTCGCCTAGACCGACATAATATGATGCGTCCTTATTCTAGGATTGAGGCTAGAAAARATTATCAAAAGACCGTATTCAACTACAGACTTTCCCGGACGAAAAGAACTACGGAGAATAGTTTCGGGCTTCTAAGCCAAATTTTCAGAGTATTCTATACACCAATATCTCTAAAAACWGAAACGGTRGATAATTTAGTCTTGACTGCATGTTGCCTTCACAATTTACTCCGCGATCGTTACTTGAAGAATACGAACAACTATTATTATAACTTCGATGATAACAAACCTCAACCATCTGAAAATATGATGTCATTGGCAAGAGCAGGAGGATATGCAAAGTATGAGGGTTTTTTCGTGAGGGACGAATTTAAAAAAATTTTCAACAGTCCACAGGGAGCTGTTCCGTGGCAAAATCATCAATCTAATAGATTAGAATAGATATTCCAGTTCCACAATAACATATTCTTTTAGTTATACTTAGCCACGCAGTTGATATATAAATAATATGAAAATAACATATATTTATAAATGTATTTTTTTTTCATAATGTAATGTTAACATAAATAACTATTATTCAGTGTATGTTGTACGTAAGTAATAATAACTAAAAATAAATAAATACTTGTGCTTACTTTATTTTTCTTGAATGTTGTAAATTGTTCTATTAAATYGTATTAAAATCGTAAATTAATAAAATACAGATTCCAGTGTTGAGTTCAAACACAAAATAAATATCTAGCTTAAATTAATAAAATACAGATTCCAGTGTTGAGTTCAAACACAAAATAAATATCTAGCTAAAATATATCAGATGACTTACTATATTATAATAAATATAATATGATATTATGTGTACATGTACCTTTTCATTTAGGTTAATATGATAATATGAAGATAGAATATTTTATTTTAATTTAGGTAATTATCTACCTACATGTTAATAATTCAAATTGTATAGACACTAACTAGATACCTATTACTCTACAGTCTACACTGACAGGTA